CTATGGTATAATAGGCCATTCAAGTGAGTGGATCAAAAGGAATGCAGTTGTAGTAAAGGATGTTATAGTTAAAGGAATGGATACCATTCTCTGATGGTGTAAATCCCAAAGGCTGTGTTGCAGGATTAAGGACATCTCTTCAGGACTGGAAAAGAGCTTGGAATGGGAGAGAATGGAGTCAGTTGTTCATGTGACATAGCTAGGACTAAGAAGGAGGTTCTGCTGAGGCAGAAGAAAATACAAAACAGGACCACAAATGTAATGATCTCTGAAATACTGCTTGAAATATAACCAAATTGGGATAGGTTAAATAAGATCAGGGAATTGAAAGTGAGGCTCAAAGATTGCTGCAGGAGAATTGGGCTTCAATTCAAGGGGAAAGAGAGAGCTATCCTCTTGGGGCAGCCTTCACCTGAACCCGCTGGGTCTAATGATCTGGCAGATCATTTAACTAGGACTGAAGGAAGAGTTTCAAACTAAACAGTCAGAAGGAGGGACTGGAAAGCTTAAAGAAAAAGGACTCTACTGAGTCAACCATAGCAGGTAGGGCTCAAGTTGAGAAATAGCATTAAAGTAACCCCACTTCGCTTCTTGTCTCTTGTCCAGTTCTGTGCAGGAAGTATGTGCCTAAGAAATGTAAAAGTGTTGGCTGATCATGTGACCTGTCTCTAAATGCCGGTAATTCAAGCACAATTATATTTTCCAATTGAAACTTGATTAGCTTATACACGGTTAGCTACATTTAATGGTACATTTCCAGCAGTGGATATCCAGAATACCGATGTGATTATCATATGTGCAAACTCAACTTCATGTTTCCAGCCAATGGAGTAAAAATCACTGCTTTGCATAAAGTACATGTTTATGACAAGAAGAAAGGAAAAGGGCATGGGAAACACGAGATCAATATAGTAAGAAATGATCTTGATTTGAAGGATCAAGATGTGGAATCAGTTTTGGTGGAGATGATAAATAAAAGAAAAAGGTAATTTTTTGGAGCAGTTTATGACATCCTGACAGTATCTACACTGTAGGACAAGGCATAAGTCAAGAACTAATGGAAGTTCTAAAAACAAACTTACTGCAATAATTATGGGCATTTTTTAATATACATGTGAACTGGACGGATCAGTTGACCAAAGTAGCCTGGGTAATAGTTTATGAAGTGTATTCAGGTTTATTTCTCAGGTCAATATGCTCTTCCTACTAAAATTAACAAGTTCATATTCACCCACATTCTACTCCATCTGCCAACTCTTAAGCTATCTATATCTATTTAGGGTGGCACGGTGGCTCAGTGGTTAGCACTGCTGCCTCACAACACCATGAACCCAGGTTCAATCCCACCCTCGGGCGACTGTCTGTGTGGAATTTGCACATTCTCCCCGTGTCTGCGTGGGTTTCCTCTGGGTGCTCCGGTTTCCTCCCACAGTCCAAAGATGTGCAGGCTAAGTGGATTGGCCATGCTAAATTGCCCATAGTGTTCAGGGAGGTGTTGATTAGAGGGATGGGTCTGGGTGGGATGTTCTGAGAGTCGTTCTGTGGACTTGTTGGGCCAAAGGGCCTGTTTCCACACTGTAGGGATTCTATGATCTATGATATCCCTATTCAGATTCCTCAGATTCTCTTCATGCCTTACTTTCCTACTATGTCATTAGCAACTTTAGCTACCATACATTTTGTACCTTCATACAAGTCATTGAACTAAACTGTAAATAGTTGAGGCCCAACACTGACATCGCACCTTGCCAGCCTGAAAATCACGTGTTTTTGCTTACTTTCCATTTCCTGTTAGCTAATCAATGTCATGCTCACACTTGTATGTTAATACCTACACCATGAGCTCTACTTTTGTGCAGTAACCTTTCATGTGGTACATTGCTTAAATGTTTTCTGGAAATCTAAGAACAGCACATGCATAGGTTCCCTCTTATCCCCATTGTTAGCTACTTCCTTGAAGTCAATTAGTCGAAAATGATTTCCCTTTCCCAGAACCATTTTGGTTCTGCCTGATCACAATTGATTTTCTAAATATTCTGCTTTAACTTCATTAATAATAGATTCCAGTATCTTCTCCATGACATATTAAGCTAACTGACATATACATTCTTGCTTTCTCTCTCCTTTCTTGAAGAGGTATCACATTCATTAGTCTGATACAACCTTTCCAGCACCTATTAATATTTGGAAAATTAAAACTGACACATTGTTTAATATAGCACACTTTTTTTTGAAAGTTTCTACAGTGAAAACAGTCATGATGTAGGGACATGCTAGTTTTCAGTTCTAATAGTTTTCTTGGTCCCTCTCCATAGTGATTGTTATGGTTTTAAGTTCCTTCCTCTCTCGCATTCACTGGTTCACAGTTATTTCTGGCATGTTATTTGTATGCTGTATGGTGAAGACAGATGCAATATATCCGTTCAGTTCATTTACCATTTCTTCATTTTCCACTTTTATTCCTGGACACACTCTTTAGTGAACTAATGTCTCTTTCTTTTATTCCTTTTTAAACACCTGTAGAGACTCTTATTATCTTACTTTTACACTTTCTCCCTCCATATTAATCTTTTAGACAACGTTTTCTGTTTCTCTATAGTTGGTCCAGTCTTCTGACCTGCCGCTTATTCTTGCAGAATTATTTGCTTTTTCTTCCAACTTAATACCATGTTTAATATCCTTAGTTAGCCATGAATGTGTCTTTACCTTAGAAACTTTTTAACTTTATGAAATTTATCATTTTTGAGTGTTCTGAAATATTTTCATTAATATCTGTCACTGCACCTTCACTGATCTTTCCTTAATTTCCCAATTTGCTTTAGTCAGCTCTGTCTTCACGCCCCATCTTGCCTTCATGTAAATTTGGAACACTAGTCATCAATCCACACTCAGTGCTGAGATCTTTTCCTCGTATGAATCTAGAACTAGGAGGACACAGTTGACAAATAAAGATTAATCCATCTCAGATGAGGAAAAGCTAAATTTCTTCTCTCGGGGGTTCTTTAGTCTTTGGAATTCTCCTCCACAGAAAGCAGTGGAGGTTGGATCATTAAGTATATTCAAGGCTGAGGTAAACATAGTTTTAGTCTACAGGGAAATGGAAGGTTATGGGTGGCAAACAGGCAAATGGAGTTAAGGCCACAATCAGATTTAACATGATTTTATTGAATTGCAAAGCAGGCGTAATGAGCTGATGGCCTATTTCTCTTTTATGATCTTATGATATGAACAATAATGCATGAATGTATTTTCTCTGCACCAGTGTACATAGTTTCTCTTGGAGCCAAATATTAAGACAGTGGTGTGTCCTAATCGATAGCGTTGTTGTTTCTGTTTTTTGTTTACAGATATCTGAAAGTGCTGTTTAAATTATAGAAAGCAAAAAATAAATTCAAGTGTATTTTTAGACTTTTAAATAGTAGAGGTTGCAGGTCTGTGACAATGTGAAAATCTAGCAGGGATGCAATCCTGAAAATAAATCAGCCTTTCAATGCTTCCATCTGCTGGTGCCCAACTGTTACAGCAGATTCCTTTCCTGTTGAGGTTTAATTCTTGCTCATTGCTTGCAAAGCTTGCACTCATCTGGATTGACTGTTGCTGAGCAACATGTGAATCTTACCACTTGCCTAGCTTTCCATGGAGTGTTTTTGAGAATTATCGTAGGTGAGAATTTGGCAAAAGCATCAACAGTTTTAAAAATAACTAATTGAAAAAATGCAAAGGGACTTTTATCCAACTCCAGTCCTTTATTTCAGTTATACCAATTATTAACTCTAGTAATACATTCAACAGCCTTGTAATCCTCTTCGTGGAAAAGAAAATATTCTATGCCCTGAATTTGTCTTTCATTTTGATTTCCTGTTTAGATCTTCAGTCACAGAAAACAGTCTTTTTGCTGTGACCCTTCCTTTCATAAATTTAAGCACGTCTATCAAATCATCCTCCAATCTGCACTGTTCTAACCAAGTTTAACACAATTAGGTCCATGCCATGAGTCCCAACATGGTGCGGTTACTAAGGTTTCATATAAATTCTTCAATGCAGTTCAATTTTTAGATAAAGGAGAGAGAATGTGACAACCATGTGGTAAATTCAGCCTGTTAAGTTCTATGTCAAAGTATAAATTTCAGTCCTGACAGAGATATGTTATCACAACTATGCTGAAATGCTTTGGTTATGATGCGCTCCTCAATATGGAGCCTGATATATAGGTAAAACACTGAGCCAGATACTGTTTTTGTATTTGGAAATTTATACATTGGTGTGAGAAGATTGCAAATAGAAGACATGGAATCAAGTAATCTTCTATAAGCTGCAATGTTAAAATATTGTCAAACTGTGCTCCAGGATGGGATGGCATTCTGAAAGAAGAATTGGCAATGCTTTTTATACAGTCCCCACCAATTAATGTCGCCTGTTCAGTTATCGGACCCTCCTGGTACCTCAAATGCATGTAAATATATTTCTTGTTCAAGTAAGAGATGCCTTTGGTTTGTTTGCATTGATTCAAACTCCAATGTTTGTTTGTTTTTCTTGATATGCTACTGTACAGAACTGAATTGTGTTTGTGTGTGTGTGTGTGTGTATGTGTATATATAAAGGTATTGTTTATGAATTTATTTTTAAAATTAAAAATAAATCACCTCACCAGGGAGAAGCAGTAAGAGTGGATAGAAATGTTCTGCTTGAAATAAGAAAGAAGTAGCAAAATCGTTCATTTAATATTTAATGTATAACATGCTGACATCATGGTGCAAATCTTGGTGGATAGAAGTAATCTGATACAAGAATCATGGGTTTCTTTGTATGAATCTTTGGGGCCTTGTTTTGAATTCCTCTTTCATGTCATAGTGTATGATGTTGAAGTGAGACAGGGAATAATTCAAGTACATAACCCTGAAATGGTGAGAGATTGTTACGTTAAATTTTCCTTCTAATTTGCACACCTGAAGATGCAGACCAAAATGTAACACTGCAATATTGTTTTGTGTTGACTTTAGGAAGCCACGCCCAGTATCTCAGTTGGTGGCCCAGCAAGTAACCCAACAATTTGCATCACCCACGCAACCAAAGAAGGAGAAAAAAGACAAGGGAGAGAAGGAAAAAAATGAGAAAGAAACTGTCAGTAAAAAGAACAGTCACAAGAAAACAAGGTAACACTTTGACAAAGATGTTACTTCAAAACCAAACAAGATGTTTCACCTTAAAGTTCAGGTGTATGGTGTCCTTCATTGGTTTGTAAACTAAGTGATCTGTATTTGGACATTCTTGTGGAGTATGTTTCAAATATGTTGATCACAGGCTCATGCTTGTGCTTTGTAATGATCAAAGGTTAGCTTTTGCAGTGCACAAAACAGTTTGTCTGTCACTCACTCCTCATGTTAATTAAAATAAGTTGTGTGCCAAAGCCTCTGCTTCGTTATCAAGGCTGTTTAAGAACTGATTGCTTATATACCATGACTAGCAGAGTGAAAACAAAATTGTCACTCATCTGAAATATTTTGTGTCAGGGAAATATTTTATGTACTCATTCATCGGATGGGGGTATTTTATTGTCCTTCTCTAATTATTCTTCAGAAGGTAGTGGTAAGCCATCTCTGCTATCTATGTGGCAAAGAGTTACAGAGGATATATTTGTGAATCCAGATAATATGTAACCTAGACATGCTGGCCTTCCTGTGTGTCTGGTGCTGTCCTTCTAGATGGCAGAGTTTGCAGGTTTTGGAGACATTGTCAAAGGAGTTGCTGCTACGGCTAGTTGCTGTAATGCATCTTGTAATTGGTATACACTGCTGCCACTGTGTACAAATAATGGAGGGAATGAATATTTCAGGGAGTTGTTTGAGTGCTGATCAAGCAGATTGTTTTGTCCTGAATGGCGCTGAGCTTCTTCAATTGTAGCAAGTGGACACTATTTCATCAAAATTTGGACATACCTTGTAGATGTTGGAGTGGCCAAGAGGGAGCAGTATGTGAGACATATTGCAGCATATATCTTGTGATGAGCTAATTTTCTTACTCTTAATTTTTTTTCCTATAGTAATGATGTTAAATAAATAAATTTAGTGGTGGTTAACTTGGTTTTTCATTTCAGTATAGTTTTGAATGGATGTCATGGATTAAGATTGGAGTTTATTATGATGTGCTAGTCTCTTCAGTCAGATATTCCAACAAGTTGAAGTTTCCTGACGTACTTTGTGTTCATTGCTTGTAAGGACATGAATTGGAAGCCAAATCAAATATTCACATTTTCAGAGATAGCAAGAACTACAGATGCTGGAGTCACAGACGACAGTGTGGAGCTGAAGGAACACAGCAGGCCAGGTAGCATCAGAGGAACAGGAAAGTTGACATTTTGGGTCGGGACCCTTCTTCAGAAATGGGGACGGGCAAGGGAGCTGGGAAATAAATAGAGAGCGGAAGGGTGGGACTGGGGAAGGTAGGTGGGATGGTGATAGGTGAATGCAGACAGGGAGTGGTGGGGATTGGTCAGTGGATGGGTGGAGCAGATAGGTGGGAGAGAAGATGGACAGGTTGTGTCAGGTCAAGGAGGAGGGGATGAGAGGGAAGTTTGGACATGGAATGAGGCCGGGGGTGGGGAGATTTTGAAACTGGTAGATTCCATGTTTAGGCCATCGGGCTGTAGGCTCCCGCAGCGGAATATGAGGTGTTGCTCCTCCATTTTCATTGCGATGTCATTGTGACAATGGTCCAAGCGTAGACTCTGAGACCGTTCGTAGAGTATCCGTGCTCTGTACATGACAAACGACGATACTTTCTGGTTGCCAACCATTTCAACTCCCCCTCCCACTCCCTGAGTGACATGTCCATCCTGGGCCTCCTCCAGTGTCACAATGACGCCACATGCAAACTGGAGGAGCAACACGTCATTCTGCCTCGGGAGCCTACAGCCCGATGGCCTGAACATGGAATCCACCAGTTTCAAAATCTCCCCACCCCCAGCCTCATCCCATATCCAAACTTCCCTCTCATTCCTGACTCCTTGACCTGAAACAACCTGTCCATCTTTTCTCCCATCTATCCACCCTGCTAATCCCACTAAGCAATCCCCACCACTCTCTACCTGCACTCACCTATCACCATCCACTTATCTTCCCCAGCACCACCCCTCCTCTATTTATTTCCCAGCTCCCTACCCCCTCCCCATTTTTAAAGAAGTGTCCCAACCCGAAATGTCAACTTTCCTGCTCCTCTGATGCTGCTTGGCCTGCTGCGTTCCTGCAGCTCCATACACATTTTCAGACCATCTTTTTGTACATTCTTAAATAAAAGCAGGTCTTTGAAGTTTACTTTTATTCATGTGTTGTTTTTACCTTTGCCCCATTTTCCTAGGCCGAGGTTAAAAAATGTGGATCGAAGCAGTGCACAGCATTTGGAAGTGACTGTGGGTGACCTGACAGTCATTATTACAGACTTTAAGGAGAAGGCAAGGTCAGCCCCAGCAGCCACTGCTACCTCGAGTACCACTGCTGACCAGCACAGTCTGAGCAGCTCCAGCTCTGACAACACAGAAAAAGGCTTGTCTCAATCATCATCGCCCAGAGGGGAAGGATCAGTAAATGGTGAATCCCACTAAAGTACCAGCTGACCCCTACTTCCTTTACTCGCTCCTTGCTCAACGATTCAATGGACAACATCTCAACAACTTCAGTCCTTGGCGTTCGGTGTTATCACTGGCAAATTGGGCTGCGTTCTTCAGTCTTGGTTTCGATGCTTTCTAATACTTGCATACCAACCTGGAACTCCTGCACTGCGGCATGTTTTTGAGTGTAATTTTCTATAACTTAGATTGGACTGCCTAAGTAATGTGTTCGAGAACTGAATTGTGAAGCAGCTGGCTTTAAGTATTCAGTGCTATCTTCGGTCAATTTTCAATCGACTGCTGCAGTAACAAAACAATCTCTGAAAATTGTTTGCCTAGTTAAGTGCACCTGCTGGTACTTGGTGTGGTTAAATAGGAAAAGCATTCTCAAGCATTTGTATAAATTCTTGCCAACGTTTTTTCAACACTTGTTATTTGGATGGGAAGAAAACACTTAGCCATTAAAATTGTGGCATTACCAATGTCCACTGTCATTCATTTCAGTAAGTTACAGTTTTAATATGTAGTTTTGGGCTAATTGACCAGATTTGACTGAGGATACAGTCCATGCTACTTAACTGCAGCCACTCGGGTAAAGGAATTGAGTTGCTGTAATATATATAAAAAGGAGGGTCTTTTTGCACCCTTGTCTAAATGGGGAGGGAACGCAGAAGAGTTGCTTGCGTGACTTTGTAGTTCATGCATGTCCTCTCAGCTGAGCACTCCCTGCAAGAAAGGAGGAAACGCTAATAATTAGATGCTTAGTATTGTCTAAAAGTAGTTTTAATGGTATGTGTGGGAATAGTTTATGATGATGTTGCCAGTTCTGGAAACTTCAATTAAGGTGTTTTGCTGATGTTTTGAATTTGCGACAGTATTTATACGTATTGTTGTAATAAATAAGTTATGCAAGAACACATTCTATCTTTGAAGTTCTCTTACTTCTCTACCCTGGTTTTTAAATAGCCTTCTGTTTGTGTTGTCACTGGCAAAAATTTTTTTTGTGCTGAACTGCTTCAAAGGCGGTTGGCAGGTGAACAAAAGGATTTGTGGAAATGTATGGTCTGACATTGAATTGGTACTAGATATGTTTCTGTCCCTTTTTTTTCTACATCTCATATTTTCCAAGCAATACAAGAAAAATACCTCACGGGAATGAAACCAATTTTTAAAGAAAAGATATTACAACTAAAAAAAAATAGAAACTCAAACAGATTGGAAGTTATATTTATTACCAGCAGGCAAAACACCTTTTTTTCCGTAGAAAAATAAAAACTAAATGGTAACAAAACTAGTGGGTGATATGGGGAGGGCCTAGCAACTGTGTGTGGTGTCAGATAATGTTCCAATGTAACATGCAATAAGTGGCATAGACTGTATTTTCAGATGTAGGTATTTGATACTAATACCTGTATTCAGTGATTATAGATTGTTTTACATGAGATTTTTATATCCTTTAAAGAAAACTCTTGGTGTTCATGCTGATTTGTGTAGTGTTTGGTATATATTTGATTTCTATCAGAAAAAAAAACAACTCACAATTAAAAGATATTTGAATTATAAAGGCCAGTATCCATTTTTAAAAGGGGAGGCTGCGGGGTTGATCGGGCATAATTGCAATAATTGAATTGAATTTTTCAAATAAAAAGCACTTGCTGTACGACAGTAAGTAGGATCACGTCAGATGGTTAATCACATTACTCCAGGGAGAAGACTGACACAAGTAAGTCACAATAATTGTGCATTTTCTTGCTTTTATTCTTCAACCAACTCTCTAGCCCAGTTCTCTCGCTGCTGCTCCATCTGAAGGTGTGAGTTTCTTAATAGGGATTAACCAATAGGACTCTAGGCAGCCAATCACACTCAATAGTGAACTATTTGATTGTAAAAGGCACCGCAGCTAACTGTCCATTCCTCGTCCATTACTGGTGTTTTAAGGACACAGGAAATGTGTTACTTCATTTGTTTTAAAATATTGAATATTTCTTATTGCTTAAAGTTGCCATTAAGGGAATCACTGTTTCTTTCTCTGGGAGCTGGCAGCCATTGCCTTTCAGGTTTCTACTGGAAGAAGGAAATCAGCTGATTGCATCACTTTGTTTTGGTTTAGGTTTATATTCTCATAACAAGGAAACATAATGATGCTTTTTATTTATTATAAACTATGAGTCTTGTAAAGTAATTTTCCCATCTGATGTCATGCTGGATGATTGACTTGCTGCTGTACCTATTTCTCCACGTTGCAGGACCATCAGTTTATTGAAGAAATTGATAGTGCTTCTGTGGATTACATTTATAAACTAGTCAGGGCCATCAATAAATCACATCCGTTTGTTTTTCAGGGAGACTCTGATATTTTTTCCAATGTGGGAACCAAATTCTGGAATTCCATGAGTCTTTTGAGGAAAGCACAATCTGCAACCATGAAAATGGTGGTTTATTTGATCAAGAATCTTCATCCAATTAAGCTTCATTACGACAAATTTATAGATACAAGAAGTTAATTAGCTCATCGGATTTGAGCATTCATATTGATCAAAAGCATAGGGTTGAGTATGTCCATACCCATCTGTCTTGCGATTCTGCATTTGAATGCCTCCATTTAGATGCTCATATATTGAGTTTGTCCATGTGTGTGGTTGGTGTGAATAAACAAAATTCCCTTGGGCTTTGTCAAAGCACACAAGAGGTAATCTAACTGAAAGTATGAAATATCCACCCGAAATTTTTTGCATTTACCATATGTTTATAGACTGATCTTTGTTTACTAAATTGGGGTGTGGTCTTAATGATCTTTGTGGTCTTTGATTAGCAAGGTGATTGAACTTTGCTGTGATGCTCTCCAAATTTGCTTGCCCTGTACTGTTTGCTCTCTATTTTCAAGGAAGAATTGCTATTTAAATTTGATGTGAGAGATGCCTGAAAAGAGATGAATTTTGAGAAGATGGGGATAGCAATCCTGAAGTGAAAATATTTTCAAAATCCAGCTGAGAATAATCAACAGGTTGCAGAAAATGCCAGTCATAAATGGGAGGGAATAGAAAGCTACAAAATGGGTACAGGAAGGGCATAGGCTAAATTGGAGATAATGAGGATTTCAAGTGTCAGGTGTTGGGGACTTCAAGAGCATCATTGAGGATGAGGAATGATGCAAGACAGTTTGTGGACAATTTGGAGTTTATTGACAGTGGAGGATTGGAGGCAGGCTTGGAAGAAATAGTTTACTAATAACAAAAGCTTGAATTAGGTATTCAGTGACAGTGGAGATAAGGTATAACTGGAGCAGACAATTTTATGGAGGTGTATTATAACAATGGATAGGATCTGGTATCAGATACCTAGTTGTGGGCAGAACTAAATTTAGGATTTACCATGCCACATGAAACACTAAATAAATGGCCATGAAGTAAATTGGAATTGATGACAAGGGAGTAGATTTTACACTCAGAACTGAAGGCAATTTTTTTTTTGTCTGGTCTTAAATTTGAGAAAATATTGACTGAGTCACAGCAATTTAAGAAATGTGGTCAATGCGACAGATAAGAAAAATGGTTTGAGGTAGAGTTTGGTGGACACTCTGTGCCTTAGGTAATGTGACTGGGGTGAATGTTTTGAGAAAGAAGTTGTGGATAGGCTCTTGACAACTCTAGAGATAGCTACAATTAGGAGGGAAAATAGCAAGCTCTTACCAGAAATGCTTCAGTTGTGTTCAAGCAAGGATGCACAGAATCATGTGAAAGCAATATCATGGAGTGAAACTTGGAAAAGATATGGTTGATCATATCAAATGGGAAGATTTTCATATTTTTCACAGTAGAGGGGGAGATAGAAATGTGACAGATCCATGTGGCATGTTCTAACTGGCTGTAGATGATACAACTGCCTGTCGATGAAGAGGTGCAATAAGTAATCTGATATGAGAAGGTTGGAAAGTAAGATGGGAAGAGATTGAGAGAGTTGAGACACAATCAAAAGATAGAAAACCCTAATCCTACCAAACAGGTGTCAGGCCTGACATTCAGAGATGCTAATGCAAACCAAGGAGGCCAGCCTCCACTTTGCCAACAGTTTTGGTCCATAGAATCCCTACAGTGCAGAAACAGTCCATTTGGCTCATCGAGTCCACACCGACCCTCCACTGAGCATCACACCAGACACCCCTCTATCCTATCCCTGTATCCCTGCATTTCCCTACACTTTCCTGGACACTGTGGGGTAATTTAGCATGGCCAATATACCTAACCTGCACATCTTTGGATTGTGGGAGGAAACCGGAGCACACCCACATAGACATGGGGAGAATGTGCAAATTCTACACACAGTAATCCAAGGCTGGAATCGAGCCCCTGGCACTGTGAGGCAGCAGTGCTAACCACTGAGCCACCATGCTGCCCTGGTTCCTCCAAGTATTGATATCATGTTGTCAATTTTAAATTGTGGCAACAACCTTTGGGCCAATGGAGGTGCCAGCAAGGAGAAACTAACTCAACTATGGAAGCTGCCTTGGTGCTTTTGAATATTATCTCCCAAAATGTAGATTAATAAGAAGCAGGATAGATGACATACAGATTCAACCTATGCAAGTTGAATGTTCAGGACTAAGTGGAATTATCTAATGTTGGAGTCAGGTTTTTCAAGAGGGAAATTAGGAGGCACTTCAGCATCCAAAAGGTAACAGAAGTTTGCAATTCTGCTCTTAAAATGTCTCCTCCTGTTCCTATGGGAAGGCCAAAAATGATAAACTGTGCTGCACTGAAGGGCGACTATGCAAAAGTTTAAGGAGGTTGTAAGTGATCTTTATGTTAATCATCCTTTTGTACATGTTTCATTCAAGCAAGCAGTCTGTGAATACTGCAACATGCACACATTCATGAACATACAATTCCCAGAGACATTTGTCTGTTCCAAAATATTGGTTACATTTAATATTGCGTAGGAACAAGGACAGGACTTGTTGCAGAGTTTTCTCTTGGAGCAATTCAAGGACTATAGAACAGCCAATTTAGTCATTGGACAGAAGTAGTAAGAGAAAATGTTTGCTACCTTTGTGTTCCTAATCAAATAGCTAATTAGGAATATAGAAAAGGTGCTGCTGTAGCAGGCTGAGAGTCTCTGGGATTCAGCAAAGTCTGGGGTGTAAGGAGGTGCACGTATGTATTGGGCTTTAGGCCAGGAATTTGAGATTTTGGCAGTTGTTGGCACTCTGAGGAAGGCATATGCCATTGATATTCAGTGCAGCTGAAGGCAAGGAATTAGCAATCCCACAAGCAGAATTAGTTGTGCTGCTGGGCAAGATTCAAGCTCAGAGTAACACACAGATGTACCGGCCTAGTGAAACTAGCTATCTGTGAAAAGCCAAAATTATGCCTGAGAGTTGGTGCTACAGCATAGTTTCCAGGATCCAGGTGAGTGCAGTCCTGATTGAGGGAGTGAGCTACCAGTATGTGAACAATCATTCAGACATTCTGTGACAGAGTGGTGTTTGATGAGTTTCTGCAGCTAGGTCTTCAAATGAAGAATTGGAGTCCCTTAAGTTTCAAGAAATTTGATGACATACTGGCACTGATCTCTTGAGGGGAGGGGTTAGGTTCTGAGAAATCCATGGGATATATTGTAACTGCATTTGCGACTTGAAGTGCTCTAGGGTGTTTGACCAGGTGGCTGTAACCCGTATTAACCTCAGGTTAAATCTAATTGGCCATTGGAATATGTTGTAGATTGTGTCTTTCGGTTCTAACTTTATATAGTAAAGTTTATTGTCTGTTCAAAGCCATGGAAATTTGTGGTTTTATTCTTACAAGTACATGGGATTGCTCACTTTCTCTACTTTTTCCAAAAAAAAAACTGACTGCTTCCAAGCCAGATTCCAGCAGTCCGGTGAAAGATCTGTGGGATTTGAAATCCACTGACAAATGCAAGTGTAGCATAGATTGAAGTTTGTTAAAATTTTCACAGTGAATTCTACTATATATTTTGAAAACCAACTTGGCTTTGTCAGTTCCTAAGACTTTTCTGGAGAGGTGAGATCTATCCCAAAATGATTTGAAAACATTGACCAAGACTAGGTCAACAGCATTAGTGGGAATGTTGGAGTCTGAATAAAAAGCAGAGGCGATGAAAATGTAGTTAATAGAACATCTTGAATATGAAGAACAGTCTAATCAGTACAATTTGAGCTGGCTAGTATTTGGTTGCAGATGAAGCAGGCTGAAATAGAAAAGGGAAAAAAATTAATGAGAAACTTAAACTTGAAAGTCAAAGTCAAATGTTTGAACTTGAATGCCAAAGACACTGGTTGGCAAGGGAGGAAAGAAATCAGCAAAATAAACTTTGGCAAGAGGAAGATACGAGGATGCATGAACTGGCTAAAGTAAACTTAGGTTATATGCGTAAGGGGAAATTGGCCCAGTCAATAGTATAGAGAATAAACATGGTGTCAGAAAACCAGTTTTGTGTTCATCACCATAAGACAAATCAGGTAAAACAAATTCTTAGAAGTGAAATGGTTAATCAGTAGGAGTAATAGGAACACTTCAGGAGTCTTCAGAAAAGACAGAACCAGGA